AAGCTCGTCATTTCGCAAATGTTTTTTGGACACGGTGGAGATCCGAATACTTACCGACTCTACAAGAAAGGCACGTTATGACAGAAACAAGAAAGAACTTTCAACCAGGAGACACAGTTCTGCTTGTTGATGATAGTGTTCCCAGAGGCCAGTGGCCACTCGGTTTGATTGAAGCTGTTCGAACTAGTTCCGATGGATTGGTTCGATCTGCGACTGTCCGAACAAGAGGGACAGTAATGCAGCGCCCAGTGACAAAACTGGTGAAGTTAAATTGAAACCTCTCGTTTTCGACCCCTCGTGGTTTCAAGGGGGTGGGTGTTGGCGCCGCCCAGCAAGAGGGTTCGCCGCAGTGTGTATACGCGAGAAAATTGTCACGCGATTTTATAATTTCGAATTCAGTATTTTGTTTCCGTCTCAGCTGGAGTTTATTGCAAGTTTATTGCGCTAAATTGAATATGGAGTATAGTTAGGTGATATTTTGTGTTAAGTGTTAACATATTTTGAACCCCGCAGACTCATGTAAGTACGCATTTTGTTGTGGTAATAGACACGACTTTCGTTAGTAGTGAGAGTGACGATCTTGGTTATATCTGTAACGTTAGATCTTGTATGAGATGATTTAGGTAAATGCATAGTGTTGTTGTCCTTAAACCTATGTCTCCAAGTTGTATGACGTGATGTCATGTATTCCAGAAACGGCAACATGGAACTCAAGAGAGATATGTTTGTTTCTATTATTTGAGTAAGAAGATGCTCGAATAGTGCAATTAGACCGTATTGAGTGCGGTGGTAAAGGCCATAATTGATTTGCTGATTTAGCGTAATCAAAAGTTTATGAGTCTTCGATTAACTTTTATGAAAAGACATTTTAAACTGAGTTATTTTAAAACACGTTACCGTGAAGATTTATTCTGCGTTTTGAAGCCAGAATCTTCAGCCAGCCACTGTAAGTCTATCGCAGCTTTACTATTCTCAAACCTTAAGTATTGAATATGGACAAACTCACCGTGTATCAACTGAAATGTGAGCTAAAGGCCCGCGGGAGAGGGACCACAGGGAATAAGGCTGATCTGGTTGCTTCGCTGCGTGATGCATTAGACGAAGAAGGAATTGATTTTGAGAGTTGGGCTGAATTTGTCCCAAGTAAGGCCGCTGGGATATTTAACGCAAATGAAAACATGCCCCAAGCTAGTGCCGCCTTACCGAGTGGGCAACGAAGGAATACCGTCGAAATTACTGGAAGTGGCGAAGCTCCTCAAATAAGCGATACTATTTCTATCCAAACATCTGCATCGGCCGCTGAAATGACAAGGTTAAAATTGATAGAAGAAGACGCGCTTCGTGCGGGCTTAGAAGCACAGCTGAAAATTGTGCTAGAAAAACAGGAGTTAGATAGAAAGATGTCTGAATTGGCAAGACAGAAGGAAATTCTTGAATATACAGAGGCTATAGAAATTTCTAGAGCCAAGGTGAGGGCGCTAGGTAGACATGAAGACCATGAAATAGTTGAATCGAATCGCGACAAAGAGACCCCGAGATCGATATCGAATGCTACGAACGACACGAACACGACAAACCGAAGGAGCCACGACGGCCATCTAAATACTGAGAGCAGCAATATTGCAGGACTGTTGAGACGAGAAAGGGAAATAACTGCTGGGTTGATGCGCTTGCCGCCTGTTGAATTGCCCAAATTTGGAGGTGATGTTACTGAATTTCCTCATTTCATGAAGGCATTTAACCTAAAAATTGCCTCAAAGCTGTCCACCGACGAAGAAAGATTACTTTATTTAGAGCAGAATATGATTCCAGAAAGCAAGCCACATAGTATCGTTACAGCTTGCTTATACCTGGATAACGGCTACGAAGAAGCTAAGAACCTTCTCACACGACGGTACGGGTCAGAGAGCGTTTTGGCAGCGGCATTTGTTGATCAATTTGAAAATTTATTGCAGTTGAAACCAGACGATATTGAAGGGTTAGACCATTTTGCACTGGAGCTTATGAAGTGCAAGAATGCCTTTGGTGTAAATAGCGCAGCCATGAGTGACCCCAGAACCCTGAGGAGTATAAGCGCCAAGTTACCCGTTCACTCGCAACACAGATGGCGACATCGAGCCGACTCCATTAATGAAAATGAGGGTAGAGCAGTGGTGTTTGATGATCTAGTGAACTTCGTTGTACAGGAGGCAAGAGTTGCAACCAATCCTGTGTTTGGAAATCGTGGGTCAAATGCAACTGTAAGGCAAAATAACTCTGTCACTGTGGGCAGATTTCGTTCAAAACCGCTGGTGGCCGCGACACGGATGGTTAGTGCCGGAGCAAGCCCATGTATTCACTGTCAAGATAAGGGGCATGAACTCACCGATTGTAGTTGCTTTGCGAAGTTGCCACACCAGGACAAAATTGCCATTATTAGGGATTCAGCGCTGTGTTACGGCTGCTTGAAGCAAGGCCATCGCAGTACTGACTGTAGACGACGAGCTAGCTGTTCCATTTGTGCTTCCCGACATCCTACATCTCTCCATATCAATAGATCAGGAGGCAACAGTGAAAGATCAGAAAATGGTGTCCCAAATGTAACATCTTGCACCACGAAAGGTGGTGCATCCGTCTCATTTAGACCGGCTCTCCCGATCGTCCCTGTTGTCCTACATCACGGTCTTGAAAGGAAATGTACACTTGCTTTTCTGGACAGCGGATCAACTCATTCATTTATTTCAGAAGGATTGCTTAAAACTTTGAAACTACAGAGCCTGCCACAGACCAGACTATCGCTGACAACAGTTGACAGAGAAGTTAGCATCACGACACGAATAGTCAACGGAGCTTGGTTGTCGGACGAGAATGGTGGGAACATTTTAGAGCTGCCTCAGTTGTTTTCTCTCGAAAAAATTCCAGTGGACTTTGCTGATTTTCCTACTCAAACTGAAATAAGTAAATGGAAACATCTGGAAGGGGTCAAACTAGATCTGTGCCAAAATGAAGAAGTTGAACTTTTATTGGGCTCCAACGCCTTTTTAGCCATGGAACCATTAGAAGTGGTGACAAGCAACGGAGAGGGTGGTCCTTTTGCCGTGCGAACAAGATACGGATGGGTTGTGAGCGGTCTCCGTGGGGTATCATCACCATTTCCAGCGAAATGTTACAAAACACTGGTACATCCTGAGTTGCAACACCTTGAAGGGCTTGTACAACAGCTATACAACAAGGAACATGAAGAAAATCTACATTCAAATAAAATGGGACCATCTGTTGAGGACAAGAAATGGGAGAAATTCGTTCACGCGTCAACTAGACTGATTAAAGATCATTATGAGGTGGGACTACCGGTTGTAGATGAAGGGCTGATTCTGCCAAATAACAGGAATATGGCGGCAAGCAGGCTACTGAGCTTGAGAAATAAGCTTAGGCGGAGTGATAAATTGGCGTCCGATTACAAGCTATATATGAAAAACATGTTGCAAAATGGTTTCGCAGAGCCCGTACCAAATGCCGATTTATCCAGAAATGATGGTAAGGTATGGTATCTTCCACATCACGCCGTTCAGCATCCCCAAAAACCGGACAAGGTTCGCATTGTATTTGATGGCGCCGCAACCTTTAAAGGAATCTCTTTAAATGACAATCTTTTGCAGGGACCAGACCAAACGAATGCACTTTTAGACGTGTTGACCAGATTCCGTATGGAGAACATAGCTTTCACAGCCGATATTGAAAATATGTTCCATCAAGTTTATGTTCCAGAGTCTGACCGCGATTTATTCAGATTCCTGTGGTGGAAAGATGGCGATCCTCAAAATGATATATTGGAATACCGCATGAAAGTTCATGTTTTTGGAGCCACTTCTTCACCCAGTATAGCATGCTTTGCATTACGCAAGACAGCTTTAGACAACCGAGGGTGTTTCTCGAATGAAAGCTGTGCTACTATTGAGAAGAATTTTTACGTCGACGACTTGCTGAAGGCAATGCCTGACGAAGGAAGCGCTATACTGCTGCTTCGAGACCTGATGGTTTTGTGCAAACGAGGGGGATTTACTTTAAAGAAGATTTCGAGCAATAGTTCCGCTCTGATTGCATCCATTCCTAGCGAATCGCGGTCTAAGCAATTGGCGTACTGGACCAGCGATAGTAGTCACCTTCCCACTGAGCGAGTATTGGGTGTAATCTGGGACACTGAACAAGATGTGTTAAAGATGGCATTGGATCACGACAAGCTAGTTGCCCGGCCGATGACAAGACGAGGATTACTGTCAGCTGTAAGCTCCTTGTATGATCCAATTGGCATGTCATGCCCATCCATGCTGAAGGGACGCCTCATCTTGCAAGAATTGAGCAGGCTACATAATGGATGGGATGATAGTATTCCGCTTGTCAAGCAGCAAGAGTGGACGGCTTGGCTATCAGCTCTAAATGAAGTGAATGAATTGTCAGTGAATCGTTGTGTAAAACCTGATAACTTTGGAGACGTAGTATCTTGTCAACTTCATCATTTTGCTGACGCCAGTGAAGTAGCATACGGAACGGTTTCTTACATCCGGCTTACGAATGCCAAAGGACAAATCTGTTGTTCTTTTCTCAAGGGCAAGATGCATTTAGCGCCTCTCAAAGGAGCTACAATACCTCGTCTGGAGCTCATGGCGGCAACGACGGCGGTAAAAATATGCTCCCTGATAGGTGATACCATTGAATTCGATGATGTCGAGCATATATTTTGGACTGACAGCACCACCGTTTTAAGGTACATTCAGAACAAAGCGAAGCGTTTTCACACCTTTGTAGCAAATAGATTGGCAATAATCCACGATGGGTCAAGGCCAGAACAATGGAGGTATGTCAATAGTTCAGACAATCCAGCTGACGACGTGTCTAGGGGTGTCCAAAGTAAGAGATGGCTGAATGGACCTGAATTCCTTTGGAAGGACAAAGGCTTTTGGCCCTCAGCACCGATCGCCTTCAGGGAGGTGACGGAGGACGACCCCGAAGTGCGAAAAAACGGCGATATGCGCTAAAACTGCGATTGTACCAGATTCTGAAACTCCGATGGAGCGGCTCATTTTACATTATAGTCAGAAAGAATCCCTGCTCAGAGGATTGTCGTGGCTGTCACGATTTACAAGATCACTTAAGGAAGGACAGAAGGGGTTTATAAAAATGTCTCCCCCTTTGTGCTATGAGGAGCAACGTGAAGCAGAAAAGAAAATAATTCGACATATACAAGAACATGAATTTCCAAGGGAGTATGAAAACCTGTCAGTTGGTGCTGAGGTACCAAGAACCAGTCGATTAGTGAAGCTTCACCCTTTCATGCAAGACGGTATCATTAGGGTAGGTGGAAGATTAGCAGAGGCTTCGATTTTAGAAGAAACAAAACATCCTATCGTTATTCCGAGTCGTGGTCATTTTACAGAACTACTCATTACGGACGCCCATGAAGCCGTAGGGCACAGTGGGAGACAGTTCACGCTAGCGAAACTTCGAAAACGTTTTTGGATTCTGAAGGGAATTTCAAGTGTAAGACGTGTTCTAAACAGTTGTTTGAGTTGCACTAAACTCTACCGACCACCTGAATCACAACAAATGGCCAATCTTCCGTCTGACAGAGTGCAAGCTCAAGAGCCACCGTTTACGCGAACAGGTGTGGATTACTTTGGACCATTTTATGTCACTCAAGGTCGTTCACAGGTCAAGAGATATGGGGTCATATTCACCTGTCTTGCTATCAGGGCCGTACATCTGGAGGTTGCTGAAAATCTGACGTCAGACTCATTCATTTGCGCCCTGCGCAGATTCGTTGCACGTAGAGGTAATGTTCAAATACTAAGGTCTGACAACGGAACAAATTTTACTGGAGCCAACAGGGAACTGCGCTTAGAGATGACAAGGTTATCAGAAAATGAGCATGTGTTACAAAGAGCAATGCTCAAGCGAGGAATTACATGGAAATTCAACGTGGCAGGCGCCTCCCATCATGGTGGGGTGTGGGAACGTCAGATACGATCCATACGAAGAATACTCGAATCCCTTTTAACATCGCAATCGCTCAAGGAAGAGACACTCCGAACCATATTTTGTGAAGTTGAAAACATACTGAACAGTAGACCGCTTACGCCAGTATCTAGCGACGTCAGGGACGATCCACCTCTCTCGCCAAATGACATTCTTCTTCTGGGAGGACATGGTGTAACGTTACCATTCGGAGTCTTCTCCCAGGCGGACCATGGAAATAGAAAAAAAATGGAAGCAAGCTCGTCATTTCGCAAATGTTTTTTGGACACGGTGGAGATCCGAATACTTACCGACTCTACAAGAAAGGCACGTTATGACAGAAACAAGAAAGAACTTTCAACCAGGAGACACAGTTCTGCTTGTTGATGATAGTGTTCCCAGAGGCCAGTGGCCACTCGGTTTGATTGAAGCTGTTCGAACTAGTTCCGATGGATTGGTTCGATCTGCGACTGTCCGAACAAGAGGGACAGTAATGCAGCGCCCAGTGACAAAACTGGTGAAGTTAAATTGAAACCTCTCGTTTTCGACCCCTCGTGGTTTCAAGGGGGTGGGTGTTGGCGCCGCCCAGCAAGAGGGTTCGCCGCAGTGTGTATACGCGAGAAAATTGTCACGCGATTTTATAATTTCGAATTCAGTATTTTGTTTCCGTCTCAGCTGGAGTTTATTGCAAGTTTATTGCGCTAAATTGAATATGGAGTATAGTTAGGTGATATTTTGTGTTAAGTGTTAACATATTTTGAACCCCGCAGACTCATGTAAGTACGCATTTTGTTGTGGTAATAGACACGACTTTCGTTAGTAGTGAGAGTGACGATCTTGGTTATATCTGTAACGTTAGATCTTGTATGAGATGATTTAGGTAAATGCATAGTGTTGTTGTCCTTAAACCTATGTCTCCAAGTTGTATGACGTGATGTCATGTATTCCAGAAACGGCAACATGGAACTCAAGAGAGATATGTTTGTTTCTATTATTTGAGTAAGAAGATGCTCGAATAGTGCAATTAGACCGTATTGAGTGCGGTGGTAAAGGCCATAATTGATTTGCTGATTTAGCGTAATCAAAAATTATTAACAGTCAAAGCTGCCTTACGTTTGCCATCCAGAGCCCACCACACAGCTTTGCTCGCTGCTCTGCACATACCGAAGGTACAGGAGACTCTACGTCGCTCCATCATCGCGTGCTTCCGTGATGCGTTCTGCGAAAATCACCGCCTACGCCAAATTCTGGTTGCCAGCCTGGCCACTCTTGTTCTTGGGGATGCCTCATCGGGACACTGCGCGCCTATCGTTAGATTTATGTTCATCGTATGTGGGGCCAATATGAGTGTGCTTCTACAGGTTGCTGGAGGTCATATCCCACCTGAGATTATGTACACCCCAAGACCCCCCTGTGGAGTCACCGACTCGCTCAGTTGGCTCCTGGCTCAGAACACTGGGGAGGCATGGGCACTAATACAAATGATATTAGCGCCACCCATATGATAGTGTTATGTTGTTTTTGGTATGCCTATGTTTTGGTGTAGGTATGATTGTGCATATGTTTTCTGGCGTATGTCTTGTGTATGCATTGTGTATGTTTGTTATGCCCATGCTTGTCTTGTCTCTAGACGTAATACAATTGATGATGATGATGATGATGATGATTACCTACTGGCATAAGGGACCAAGTTCTGAATCTTTTATCTGAAGCAACAGCGGGAGGCAATGGCGTCCTTACCTAATCTGGATTTACTCCAGAACCCTCCAACATTTTGGCTGCGGGGGATGTGTCCCCTCCAACCTCCGTCCCGGCGGGGGCGGAGTCTTCAGCATTGGAATGGCGCGTGTGATTGCGAACATTCGTCAGTGGACAGTACCTAATCGCCATCCTACGTGTGGATTGTCTATGATTGTAATACATACATACATACATGCATACATAGACTTACGTTGATATAACTTAGAAAACGCCTGTCGATATGGTCTACCAAAAGAAAACTGAAATCCGTTGCGCCGGTAATAGGAAAAAATAAATAAAGAAGCACAGCGACAATATAGTCGTCGATGACATATCTAACTGTATAACTACCATCAATTTTTCTTTTTTCGGAGAATCTATGTACCATTATGTAGCTATATTCTGTTTTCGGTGTCAGGAAGAAGAGTTGATTTGTCCACCTAGAGCAGAGCCGAGTAGGTATTGGGGGAGGGGGGGGGGGAACAAAAGATAGTATGTACCCCCCTCCCGACATTTTGGTTGGAGGGACGTGTCACCCGTCCTCCCCCCCCCCCTGTCACCCGTCCTCCCCCCTGTCACCCGTCCTCCCCCCCCCCCCCTGTCACCCGTCCCCCATCCGTTGGTGGGGCCCATGTAAGGGACGAGCGAGTGGACGTCGAGGCGACCGGTCCGAGAGAGGCCGGGCGCGACCAACCGGTCGTCGTTCCGCCTCATGCATGCGGCAGTGCCTATATACATATGGCCTCGTCGGCAGTGCAGTTACGGCGTCTGTGCGCTGCGGACCGCGGCTGACGCCGTGGAGGTTCTGTGTCCGGCGCCATGGAGTGGCTGCGGCGCGCGCGGAGGCACGTGGCCCGCCGGTGGACGGTGCACCGTCTGCTGGCCAGGTGCGGCGCCGGCGCTCGTCTGGCCATCGACTCGCTGAGCATGGCTGACGAGCTGGTCATGGGACTCCCGGCCGCCAAGGTGGCCGAGATGGCCCAGTTTGCGGTGCGCGACGCGCTGGTGTGGCTGCCTGAGTGGCCGCTGTGGGCCGCGCTGCAGTTCGGCAGGAGCGCCGCCGTCCGGGAGTCGGCGGACAGGTGTCCCCGCTGCACGCCGGCCACCCCGCTTCGCGTACTGCACATCGGCCGGTCGGGCAGCAGCGCCGAGGGACTGGCCGATATATTTCAGGATGTGTCCAGTTCGTCCGACTATGATCTCATGTACGAGCTGGGCGGAGATTTCCGATGGATGGACAGACCGCTGGTGCCACCGGGCGAGGAGCCGGACTGCATCAGTGTGCAGGACGCGCCGCAGCTGTGGGCCAGACCCACCGACAGTCCGGCCTTTGTCACGCTGCACTGGGCCCGCACGGTCGAGTGTGAGCACGAGTCGGCGCTGCTGGCGCTGCCCGCCCAGGAGGTGCGCCGAATGATGTCGGAGTTCTGTCATGCTCTGAGACCCCGCAGCACCATCGACACCCCCGGACCGGCCGTCAACGCGCAGCGGCCTGAGGACAGACACGGCGGAATGGACCACGTGCCCTGTCTGAGACTGCCCGTGTGGCCCGGGAGGGAGGCGTTCCTCTCGCGCCGCCGAGTGCACGAGTTCCCCTCTGCGGCGGCGCGCCAGGAGCTCTGCCAGTTTGGCGTGCACCTGGTGCCCACCGGCCGGGAGGGCAGCGCCACAGAGCTGTACGAGTGGCGCCTCTCCTTCTCCCGCGCCGAGGTGGTGGCCATTCACCAGCTGACGGTCACTCAGCGAGCCGTGGTAAAGGCCGTGAAGAGGATGAAGAACTACATGAGGGAAGGCGGGGCGACCCCGTCGCTGAAATCCTACTACCTCAAGACGGCGGCGCTGTGGCTGGCGCAGGACCGGCCGGCCGGCAGCTGGACGGGCGTGGTGGACGGCGTGGCCACGATCCTAGACTGGCTGCAACAGCACATCGCCGCCGGCAGTCTGCCCTGCTTCTTCTGGCCCGACATCGACCTGTTGTCCCTCGTCACCATTGAAGAGCGGAAGGACATGCTCAAGACAATCACTGCGATGAAGCGACAGACCACCGCCCTACTGATGGCCTGGTGTGCCGACACGTACTACGAAGTGCGCCTGTTGTTGGAAGAAGGCTCAGCCTGGGGGCCTCTCCCTCAGCGGCAACTGCGCCTCGTTCTGACGAGGCTGCTGATCTGCCGGGCGGTTATGGACGGTGTGACCAAAAGGACGTCGCTGACGCTACCCAACTGGCAGACCTGGATGGAGTGTTGTGCTCCACCTCTGCTCCTGTCGTCCGAGCACCAGCTCCTCCAGTGGTACTACCACTGCCGCACGGGGGCGTACCACCAGCAGTGCTACCTGCTGCAGGCACTGCTGGTGGCCCCCGCTGACATCATGTGCGCCACGCGGCTCACGGCCGTCAGAGGAGGGCTGCACACCTGGGACGCCGCGCCGCTGGTGGCCACTCTCACAGACAGAGATATGTGCTATCTCACGGGCGATCCGTCCGCGGCGGCCGCCTGGTGCCGCCGCCGGCTGACCGCCGAGCTGGACACGCCGCGGGGCCGTGCCGAGCTGGACACGCCGCGGGGCCGCGCTGAGCTGCTGCTGCAGCCCGAGCTGCTGGCTCGGCTCCTCACCGAGACCGTCCCGGAGAGAAAGGCGTGGCTGGAGAAGAGCGACCGAGAGACGCCTCTGGTGTATGGCGCCCCTCTGCCAACCTGCCAGAAGTACCGTCAGCGCCTTGAAAAAATGCTAGCTTGCAGCGAAGGCTTTGTTCCTCACCTGAAGCCTTTGCCCGGTATGGACGAGAACACTGCGATCACAACGACCCGCGTGTGGCAGCTTCGCGTTCGCCACCTGCTCACCGGTGACCGGTTTGAGAGGCAGTTCTGGGCCGCCATCAGGGGTTCCGTGGGCAGATGGAGGCTGCGGCAGCATGTTTTGGGCGGCATCACGGCTGGCGAACACCAGACCAGCGAACATGAGAGCCACCGGAGTCAGGAGCGGGGTCCCGACGGGGAGGAGCATCGCTTCGAGAGGTACGTGCTGAAGGTCGCTGAGCTGGCCGGTCGACAGGCGCTGGAGTTGAAGCAAGCACAAGCAGCGAGTGAGGACGAGTCGCAGGACGATGGGGTCCGGGTGGAGGTGGTGGACCTTCCTCTGCCGAGGCAGCGTCCATACGGCCAGGAGCAGCGTCCCGCCGGCCAGGAGCAGCGTCTATACGGCCAGGAGCAGCGTCCATACGGCCAGGAGCAGCGTCCGGCCGGCGGGGAGCAGCGTCCCGCCGGCCAGGAGCCGCTCCCCAGTCGGGAACAGGTGATACGGAGCCGGAGGCTCAAACACACGCTCGAGCTGATGAAAATGATGGAGAGGCATCAGCAGCAGCTGGACGAGCTCGATCGGCTGGAGCGGGACGGAGCGCTTCATGAACACCAGGAGCAGCAAGATCATGACTCACAGAACGAGCTGCCAGAAGAGTGATGATACTTATAACCAAAGGAGCGATTAGGCTCATTTCGTTCAGTGGAACATATCCTAAATTTAGTCTTATCATGTTGGCAAAATTTGATATGCAATACTACAACGAATAGATTTGGACCACGTTTGTACCAGTCTGGACCACTTAGAAATAAGGTTTGCTAGGAAATCGGTTTCAGGACAATTCACCGTGTCCTGTGACTTGTCTGGCGCCCCATTGGAACTTTTTTCAGGTTCCACAGAAAGTGACAAGAAGTAGATGTCTGCATGATTTTAGACCAAACTATCACATACTTGTACCTATTTTTCTTTAAAGCCGTTATAGATATATTTGCTTAGTAGTTATCTACTCATTACTGCTGATCTTTTTATGTGATCTTAGAGAAAATATACCACTTCTAACATGGGATTTTGAACTGGAATAGCAGTTTCGTAGCTGGAGCTGAGACTAGCACAAATCAGGCTTTCACGGCCCAATTAAGATCACCCTAGGCAAAGATATTCCATATCTCGTTCCGAAACTCCCTGTCCTTTTCGGTCGATATCTCCTAAACGGCTGGAGATATCGCCACCAACCTTTCAGGACCACTCTGGCCATCAATTTTACACATTGTGACCAAAAATCTTTTGAGAGGCTATGATAGGTTGGCCGCAAATGACGTCAGAATGACGTCATGTTCTGTCATTTTCGACCGAAAAAAAGACCTTCGCGAGAAGACCTGTCAGGCCTACAGCTTTGAAGGTACAGAAAAATGATCGAGACATAAAAGGTGTAAAATTAACAGGACTACAAAACTGCTGTCTCGGATTTTTGAAATTTTTGAGTTTTGACCCCCAAAAATTAAATAAAACATTTTTTGATATATTAGCCAAAAATTCCAAAAAGTTTTTTGAGTTTCGAAAAAACCGGAATATATGTGATAGTACCTACCGTCTTCTATCTACATACCAAATTTCAGATCGATACCTCGTTTTTTGGCCAAGTTATAGCGAAAAAAAACTGTTCAAAAATGATGACGTCAAATTTTCAAACTCAATTTTTGGCAATTCTAGACCTCGTAGAGCAAAACAAAGACCACTGTTAGACTCCCCGGGACGAGTTGCATCGAATCGATACCCCTTTTATGCAAAAATATTAACTTTGAAATTTGACCTAATTTGACCTGACCTTGACCTGACCTTCACCAAAACGTGACATAGGCTGGCCCCAAAGGCTGCCTAACCCACATA